CCTACCTATCCATGAGCATGGGAGATATTTTCATTTTCTGATATCTTCTTCAATTTCTTTCTTCAGAGACTTTAAGTTCTTATCATACAGGTCTTTCACTTGCTTAGTTAGAGTTACCTACTCCAAGGTATTTTATATTATTTGTGGCTATTGTAAAGGGTAATGTTTCTCTATTTCTTCCTCAGCCCATTTGTCATTTGTATATAGGAGGGCTACTGATTTTTTTCAGTTAATCTTGAATGCTATCACATTACTGAAGGAGTTTATCAACTGTAGGAGTTCCCTGGTAGAATTTCTGGGGTCACTTATATACACTATCATATCATCTGCTAATAGTGAAGGTTTGACTTCTTCCTTTCCACTTTTGATCCCTTTGATCTCCTTTTGTTGTCTTATTGCTCCAGCTAGAACTTCAAGTACTACATTGAATAGATATGGGAAGAGTGGACAGCCTTGTCTTGTTCCTGATTTTAGTGGAATTGCTTTGAGTTTCTCTCCATTTAATTTGATGTTTACTGTTGGCTTGTTGTAAATTGCCTTTATTATGTTTAAGTATGTTCCTTATATTCCTGATCTCTCTAGGGAGATCTTTTCATTTTCTGATATTTTCTTCAATTTACTTCTTTAGAAACTTTAAGTTCTTATCATACAGGTGTTGGATTATCACGAAGTGGTGTTGGATTTTGTCAAAGGCTTTTTCAGCATCTAATGAGATGATCATGTGATTTTTTTCTTTCAGTTTGTTTATATGATGTATTACATTGACAAACTTTTATATGTTGAACCATCCTTGCATCCCTGGGATGAAACCTACTTAGTCATGATGGATAATTTTTTTGGTGTGTTCTTGGATTCGGTTTGCCAATATTTTATTGAGTATTTTTGCATCAATGTTCATGAGGGAGATTGGTCTGTAGTTCTCTTTCTTTGTTGCATCTTTGTGTGGTTTGGGTATCAGGGTAATTGTAGCCTCATCAAAAGAGTTTGGTAATGTTTCTTCTGTTTCTATTGTATGGAACAATTTGAATAGTATTGGAATTAGCTCTTTGAAAATCTGGTAGAATTCTGCGCTGAAATCATCTAGTCCTGGGCTTTTTTCGGTTGGGAGACTTTTAATGACTGTTTCTATTTCCTTAGGGGTTATTGGTTTATTTAAACAGTTTATCTGGTCTTGACTTAACTTTGGTATGTAGTACCTATCCAGAAAATTGTCAATTTCTTTCAGATTTTCCAATTTTGTGGAGTACAACCTGCTGATTCTCTGGATTTCCTCATTGTCTGTTGTTATGTCCCCCTTTTCATTTCTGATTTTGTTAATTTGGATGCTCTCTCTCTCTCTGCCTTTTGGTTAATTTGGCTAAGGGCTTGTTGATTTTCTCAAAGAACCAACTCTTTGTTTTATATTTTTCTTTTTGTTTCCATTTCATTGATTTCAGCTCTCAATTTGATAATAATTTCCTGGCATCTATTCCTCCAGGGAGACTTTGCTTCTTCCTGTTCTTGTGCTGTCAGGTGTGCTGTTAAGTCACTAGTGTGAGATTTCTCCAACTTCTTTATGTGGGCATTTAGTGCGATAAATTTTCCTCTTAGCACTGCTTTCATAGTGTCCCATAAGTTTGTGTATGTTGTACTTTCATTTTCATTGAATTCTAGAAAATCTTTAATTTCTTTCTTTATTTCTTCCTTGACCCATTGGTGATTCATTTGGGCATTATTCAGTTTCCATGAGATTGTAGGTTTTCTGTAGTTTTTGTTGTTGAGATCTAACTTTAAGCCATGGTGGTCCAATAGAATACAGGAGGTTATTCCAATTTTTTTGTATCTGTTGAGATTTGCTTTGTGGTCAGTTTTAGAGAAGGTTCCATGGGGTGCTGAGAAGAAGGTATATTCTTTTGTGGTAGGGTGGAATGTTATGTAAATATCTATTAAGTCCATTTGAGTCATAACTTCTGTTAGGTTCCTTATTACTCTGTTAACTTTCTGTCTGGCAGACCTGTCTGGTGGTGAGAGTTGGGTGTTGAAGTCGTCCACTACTAGTGTATGGGTTTTGATGTGCAATTTAAGCTTTAGTAAGGTTTCTTTTACAAATGTGAATGTCCTTGTATTTGAGGCATAGATGTTCAGAACTGGGACTTCATCTTTGTGGGTTTTCCCTGTGATAAGTATGTAATGTCCTTCCCAATCTCTTTTGATAGATTTTAGTTTGAAGTCTATTTTATTAGATATTAGAATAGCTACACCAGCTTGCTTCTTAAGTCCATTTGATTGAAAAGTTTTTTTCCCAGCCTTTTACTCTGAGGTAGCATCTGTCTTTGAAGTATGTTTCTTGTATGCAGCAGAAGGATGGATCCCGTTTTCATATCCATTCTGTTAGCTTGTGTCTTTTTATAGGTGAATTGAGATCATTGATATTAATGGATATTAATGACCAGTGATTGTTAATTCCTGTTATTTTTTGGTGGTAGTGTTGTGTGTTTCTCTTCTTTGCTATTTGTTGGTGTTGGATTATCTATTGCCTGAGTTTTTGTGGGTGCATCTAACTTCCTTAGGTTGGATTTTTCCTTCTAGTGCTTCTGTAGGGCTGGGTTTGTGACTAGGTACTGTTTAAATCTGCTTTTATCATGGAATGTTTTGTTTACTCCGTCTATGGCAATTGAGAGTTTTGCTGGATACAATAGTCTGGGCTGGCATCCATGGTCTCTTAGTGTTTGCATAACATCTGTCCAGGACCTTCTGACTTTCAGAGTCTCCATTGAGAAATTGGGTGTTATTCTGATGGGTTTACCTTTATATGTTACTTGGCCTTTTCCCCTTGGATCCAGTCTGTTTGGTGTTCTGTAAACTTCTTGTATCTAAATTCTACCATGTGGCTCATGGCTTCTTACTTCCTTTTCTACACATCCTGCTTCCTCTGTGTCTGTCTTGAAACTCCTGATACTCCACCCTTCTTCCCAGATCCTCCTACTCTGGCCCACGTAATCTCTTCCTGCCCAGCTATAGGCCAGTCGGCTCTTTATTAACCAATGAGAGTAATACATATTTATGCTGTACAAAGATTGTTCCACCACACAGTCTGGTGGAAGATGCTGTGCTATATGGTCAAAAGCCTGCACTGTGTCTCACCAGAGCCTTCATAACTGTAGTTATGCACTCTGGCTCAAAGTAAGGAAGTAGTGTTAGCAACAGTGTTAGCCACATGCCTTCCCATAGCAGCTCGGGCCTTATGTTTAATGTATTCCTTAAAGGCATTCTCACCCTGCATCAAAGATGTTCCTTACACTGGAAGGAGGGGAGAAGATGACCACATACATCATATAAAAGCTCATCACAATAAAGGTTCCAAGTTCTATTTTGTATTTTGAACCTACCCATAGTAATGTTCTGTAGAAGTAACCGTCTTATTCAATAAGAAACACAGAACCAATGCAAAGAAGAAAGCCAAAGAGGTCAGAGCTAAGAGCTAAAAACCTTACCCTTTTTCTCGCGGTGGTCCTTCCTCTCCAAAAGAGACCTACTTCCTGTCTGTTTGTCTTTATAAAGACTTTCTGTTCTGCCTTCTCATTGGTTATAAACCCAACCACATGACTGCCTTGTCACTGCCTGTCTGTACAGACCTCCAGGTCTTCTATGGTTGGTACTGAGATTAAAGGCGTGTGTCTCCAATGCTGGCTGTATCCTTGAACACACAGAGATCTACCTACCTCTTCCTACCAAGTGCTGGGATTAAAGGCATGCACCACAACCACCCAGCTTCTGCAATGGCTTGCTATTAGCTCTGACCCCCAGACAATTTTATTTATTAACATACAAATCACATTTTAGTACAAATAAAATATCACCATAATGTTCAAACCATTTCATTCCACAAAGTGCTCCACACGACCGTAAGCAACTTTTAAAAACAATCTACACATGTTTTTGCCCCCTTCCTTTCCCTAAACACAAGAGAGGTGTGCTCCCTGAGAAGTAGACGAGTGCTGTTGGCTGTCTAGTGTCTGGTTGTGATGATGTCTCTCCTTGCTGTACCTCTTTTCATCGAGAATATTCAAAGCGGTTTCCTACACACTGCATTTGGAGGGGTATGCCATGTTGGCTCCTTAAATTAAAGAAAAATGTTGATAACAAAATATATGTAAAATTAGACTTATAGAAAGCTGCCTTTATTAATCAAAGTACTTGTTTGCAGTCATTTATTTGAAAATATCTTAAAAGTTCTCACAAAACTTGGATTTTAGTTTCATAAAGTTAACTTAAAAACTTACTGCTGTGCCGCTGGGCAACTCCTACAGTCTCTCTTGCGCTCCTCCAACTCCACGAGAAGAGCCTGTGTATAGGCCTCATACATCTTAGCACTCTGCCCCGGGCCTTTCATGAGGAGCAACTGTGGTACTTCCTGGCGTCCGGCTCAGCCAGCAGTGGAGCTCCCACTTTAGAAGGTGTTTGTATTTCACAGGGGCTCAGGCAGAAGCCTGAAGCCAGTCAAGAATTTCTGCAGTGTGGTAAGGCTTTGCAGGGACTAGAAGGGACTGAATTCTTTCCATTTGCTGTGCCTAGTATATGATCAGAGGAAGCTGACCATACTGAGGTGCACTGGAAAAATTGGGGTGCCTGACTGAGTTCTTTTATTTGTGTGAGCTACATAATAGGCTTCAAATTCTGATGCCTCCACTCACTCCCACCCAGGAGGAAGTCCTCCTCAAGAGGATGGCCGCAACAAGTTGTGTTTGTGTTACGATCTATGTACTCTTTCTTCCTCTTCCAGTGTGTTGTCTCTAATTTCATTATGCTTTCTGATTATCGCTTCTGTTTTCTTCAAATCATCACTTCATGTGTAATGACTCTGAAGATAGTATTCCAGTCAACAAAGAAAGAGAGAGTAAACACTAGCAAGAGCGTCTAAATCATTGACCACAGCACCATTCATGAATCAGAGCTCTTTGTTGTCTTGCAGACCTGATTCAGCACTCTGCCATCATTTGTCTGTTATCTCACACTTACAGGACACTGTGTGAACAAACCTGAGCTGATCTTCAAGTTGGAGCAAGGACTTGGGCCATGGAATGTGGCAGAAGCCTCAGACAGGAACCTCCCAGGTCAGTGAATGCACATTGAGTAAGGAAGGTCAGCAAGCAGAAAGCTCATCAGTTATTGGCTACATTGAGCTTTTTCTATTGACTTTTTATCTAAATTCACTCCTGATGAAGAAAGTGTTCAATATTAACTTGGTAAGCCAGAATGCTCTAAGATGAAGGGAGACATTCAAACCATTCTTCAACAACACCCCTTAATGTAAGTCACCTCAACTTTCCAATCAAGGCTTACAAAAGCAAACTAAATCCTTAGAAACAGCTGCATTTGTTTGCTTTTAGAAGAAACCTTGCTAATGAAAACACAGACTTTACAGATAGACAATGATATTTGAAGCAAACTAATTGTGAAAGAAATCAAAACTAGGTTTTCTTATAATAGCTGAAGCATATGAGAAGCCTAAGGAAAGTCTGTTTATTTTGAAATCTTATAGACTATTTCATTTTTTTAAAAATATTTATTTATTTATTATGCATACAGTGTTCTGCCTGCATCCCTGCAGGCCAGAAGAGGGCACCAGATTTTATTACAGATGGTTGTAAACCATCATGTGGTTGCTGGGAATTGAACTCAGGACCTCTGGAAGAACAACCAGTACTTTTAACCTCTGAGCCATATCTCCAGCCCTAGACTATTTCATTATATAAATACATATGCCCTGAGCATTTGTGAGCCGATGTTTTTATAAATGACATGCCTCAAAGTGTCAGGTTATGTTAGTTAGTGTCAGTACCCCGTTCATGAAGGGATAGACTACACAGACAACCAAAAAGAACATGGGTGAGACTCTCTGTTCCTGCGCAAAGCGAAGCATTTCCTTTAGTATAAGCAACGACACAGGGTTTGCTCATTCTTTTTCTTCCTTCTGGTTAAAATAAAGTTTAAACTGAGTGGGCTAGCACACAGCTTCCATCTCAGCACTCTGAGCTTGAGGCTAGCCTCCTCTACATAGCAAGTTTCAGGCCAACCAGAGCTACATAGTGAGACCCTGTCTGAAACCTATGACAGAATTTCCTAGAAGCTGATGGGCTAGCTAGCCTGAGGTATGCAGTACAGAGGAAATAAGGAGAACCTGGCTCAGTGGGGTAGAAAAAAGAAATAACTGGAAATTTCTCCTCTGACTTCCAGTCACACACATATATATTATATTCATGCCTATATTCACCCCACCCCAAATAATAATAATAATTTTAAAAGTTAAAGGCTTACATACAATTTTCAATAATGTACATTCAGGAACTTTTTTTTTTTGTTTTTTGGTTTTTTGAGACTGGGTCTCTCTGTGTAACAGTCTTGGCTGTCCTGGAACTCACTCTATAGACCAGGCTGGCCTCAAACTCACAGAGATCCACCTGCCTCTCTCCCAAGTGCTGGTATTGCATGCACCAATACCACTTGGCTCATTCAGGAACTTTTTTATTTGGAAATGAAATATAGAATTACTATATGTGGCAGGTCTCCCTTGCCTGTCTATATGCATGGTGGAATTACGGTAAGGACAGAATACATAAACCTGTAGGCCCATGTTTACTGAGAAATTACTCACAATAACCACGGCATGGTAGGTATCACCCCTGTGCTCATCATTAGACTCAGGGAGGGTTGTCTACAAAAAGTGTGTTACTCAGCCATCAATAGGAATCAGGCCACAGTCTTAGAGACACGGGGATGGAAGGGCACCTTATCATGTTATGTGAAATAAGTTAGAGTTGAAATAGAAAATATGTATTTGGTATCATGCACTGAATATAGAACTAAAGTCAAGAAAGTAAAACCGGTGGCCTCAATAGAGTAATGAACTAGCTAAGAGGAAGAATGGGAGAGTGTCTTGTACAATTAATACATGGTAAGAAAAAAAAATACATGGTAAGTAAATTTTTAAAAGTTTGCATTTGAGGGTGTGGTGGTATATGCTTTTAATCCCAGCACTTGGGAGGCAGAAGCAAGTGGCCAGTCTGGTCTATATAGCAAGTTCTAGGACGGCTAGAGCCACCAAGTGAGACCCTGTCTTGGTATGTACAGATCTGTCATTCAAAATTGTCAGCTATGCACAGAAAAATGCACTGGTGTGAGAAAACTTCTGGTAGCTATTTGATTTTTATGAAGGTGTTCATTGTTATTTTAGAAGGTGAAGGAGATATGTAGAATATGCATTAAGGAGAGAATTTGGGAGAAGGTGTCTTCTACTTTTGGAGGAAGATGCTTTGCCTCATAAAACCCATGGGATATTCTATTGCTTTTATCCACTGTGAAGTAAACCTTTTAAACACATATATGTAAGAAGCTTTTTCCTAACATATATTCCTACTTAGGAGTGAGAACATTTGGCTATGCCTACTACATCCTATGTATAACTACTTAAAAATGAGCCTGTTTCGGGGGCTGGAGAGATGGCTCAGAGGTTGAGAACACCGACTGTTATTCCAGAGGTCCTGAGTTCATTTCCCAGCACCCACATGGTGGCTCACAATCATCTGTAATGAGATCTGGTGCCCTCTTCTGTGTACATAATAAATAAATAAATCTTTAAAAAAAAATGAGCCTGTTTCACATGTGAAAGGGGTGTGCTGCAGATGATATTATATGTATAATAATGCATATAATAATGTAATATATACGTATAATAAAATAATATCATAGAGAAGTGGAGCAGCCAGGCCGCAGCAGCTGAAAATGACCGTTGAAACTACAGCAGAGAAAGAGGTGAGTAGATCGCGTCTGTGCCTCCTCAGAAGAAACTGCGGCAGGAAGAGACGTGGCCTAGCCTACAGTGTGTGCTAACCCCATTTGTTGTACAATCCACGGAGTACTAAAATGTTTACACTCATTACTAGTCAATATCAGTTTACAACTTCTGTGAGGAAAAAAAGCCCACTTTATTTTAGAATTGCATAAAAAGACTATAATGTGATTCATGGATAGGGACATTTTTAATCTAATTTCAGGTCTTCCTATGTGGACTGCCCCGACTGTAACCAGCCAGGAACACCAGAATGTGCATTTGTGGCAAGTTGGAACTATCCAAACCAAGGCATCAAGTGAAAAGATTGTAAGTGAAACATTAAATCTGGGCACTTAACAATGTCAGTCTGACCCTAAAGAGGGGAACCTCTCATCCATAAGAATTTGATGTGAGGCTGGCAAGATGGCGCAGTTGGCGTAGCTGCCTTGGAAGCCTGAGACCTAAGTCCGTTCTCCATCACTCTTGTAAAAAGCTGAGAGGCAACGGGCAGCTGTTATCCCAGGGCTCGGGAGACTGAGAAAAAAGGGTACCTGGGACCTGTTGGACATCCTAACTCTTCAAATCAGCAAGCCCACCTTTAATGAGAGGCCCTTTCTCAAAATTAAGGTGGAGAGTAATTGGGAAAGGCATCTGATGTCAGCC